TTGCCATTCTTATACCATTGTTTAATTTTTCGCCCATAGCAAGAAAAACACATTTGAGTAGACATTAATAAGACTAATTTAATTCTAAAAAAAAAGTTTAGTATACATTCGGTTACCGCGTCAATTTCGATTCGGTTTTGGTTCTTCTTTGTTTGGTTCGATCTCGGTTCGGTCTCAGTTTGGTACAATCGAATCGGTTTTTTTACCCAAGACTAACCAAAACAATGATAAATACTTAATGTTGGGCCAAGATAGGCCACGTTATGAGTTTAGGTGGGCTGTTATTTTGTTAGCATGTTAAGCTCTTTTATCGCTATATTTAACTCTCTTCTCTCTCAAAAGAAAAGTATAGAAAAGATCATCAAAACAATCAATTACTGAATTTTTATCACTTATGCCACTTTTTGGGAAAAAATGATCTGGCATGCCACTGAATAATCTGCATGCCACCGATATTGTGAACTGACGAATTTGCCCTTAATGAAAGAAGGAAAAAAAAATCAAAAAAGAAATGAAAAACGTTTATCTCTCTAATCTCTCTCTCTCTCGTCCTACTCTCTCTCCTCTCTCTCTCCTCCAAACCCGACAATCCTCCGCCACAGCTCCGAACTCCACAGCTCCCGCCGATCTGCAAGTACGGCTGAAGAGAGTCGTCGTCCTTTTCGAAATCGGTTAGTTTTGTCTCATAAATCCTCTTGACATTGCTGCATTGATAGAATTTTAGGTAATTTATGAGTATTTTGGAATTCTTTAAAATTAGGGATTTGAAAGAGAATTGGGTTTTTTTCGATTAATCGAGAGAATCGATAGCATATTGAGGAATGTTGGCATTTGCATTGGTTATTAAACGAATGTAGCTCGTCCATTGTTGAATCGAGTCACATTTTATGTAGAATCGAGTCAGATCTCAGTCAACTGGGACAACTATGAAAACTGGTTCAACTTTTATTATGTAGGCCAACTAGTACAACTGATAGTCTGTAGGCCAACTGGTACAACTAAGTTTAATTATTCAACTGGTACAACTGATGGTCTGTAATCCACCTGGTACAACTAAGTTTAATTATTCAACTGGTACAATTGATAGTATTTAGGCCAACTGGTACAACTGATAGTAATTGGTACAACTGGTACAACTAGTATAACAGTGACAAATAGTGTATGTGCAGTTTTTAATTGTTGTATTTTCAGGATAGTACCCTCCTTGGTCAATTGGTACAACTGATAATATTTAGGCCAACCGGTACAACTGATAGTATGTAGGCCAACTGGTACAACTAGTATAACTGTGAGAAATGGTGTATGTGCTGTTTTTAATTGTTGTATTTTCAGGATAGTAGTCCATAGTCAACTGGTTCAACTGTTAGTATGTAGGCCAACTGGTTCAACTGGTAGAATGTAGGCCAACTGATACAACTGATAGTATGTAGGCCAACCGGTACAACTAGTATAACTGTGAAAAATGGTGTAGATTTGTGCTGTTTTTAATTGTTGTATTTTCAGGATAGTACCCTCCATAGTCAACTGGTACAACTGTTAGAGTATAGGCCTAGCTGGTAAAACCGATAGTATGTAGGCCAACAGGTACAACTAGTATAACTGTAACAAATTGTGTTTGTAATTATGTTTTAAATTGTTGTAATTTCAGGAGGCGATGAAGAAGAAGAGCCATACTAACGTACATTTTGACTATGGAGGGTACTATTCAGAAGGGAATGAGTGGATTTATAAAAATTCACTATACGCTATATCGTTTAAGACGACATGTTTAGAGAAGATAACTTATTCGGTGCTATTAGATAAGATCACTACGAAGGTTGGCTAGAATGGAGTTCCTGGGAATCTGAAACTGAGTTACAATCTATCTAAAGCTCGGAGAGAGACATATATTGTAGATGATGAGGACGTATACATTTTTTTAACAGAATGTGATGAAGAGGGTCGTATTCCAGTTTTGCATGTGGAGCTATTAATTGACAATAACCAGAGGGTGGAAGTGTTAGTACCGGAGCGTCGAAGTTCAGTTGGTGTGAATTATGTAGAGCTAGTGAATGTGAATGAAGTTTTGGAGAATGATGTGAATGAAGTTTTGGAGAATGATGTGAATGATGAGAATGAAGTTTTGGTGAATGATGTGAATGAAGTTTTGGTGAATGATGTGAATGATGAGAATGAAGTTTTGGTGAATGATGTGAATGAAGTTTTGGTGAATGAAGATATGGTGAATGAAGTTTTGGTGAATGAAGTGTGTCAGAATGTGACAGGTATGGAAGTTGTGGCTGTGGAAAGGTCGATGGATAACCATTTGGATGAAGATGTGGATGGTATTTTTGATTTTGATGATATTCCAGCTATTCCAAATCGTGTAAAAGGTACTTCAAAGAATATAGAATGGGAAGATGGTACGGGTATAGAACTTTATCAAGAATTTTGTTCTAAGGAAGCACTGTGGGAATTGGTAAACAAAACTGCAAAACAAGAAGTTTATGGGGTTTTAACAGTTAGGTCTGACCCGTTGAGACTTATGTTACGATGCAAACAATATTCTCAAGGGTGTAAATGGTATTTACGAGTTGCGAGAACAAAGCAATCAGATTATTGGAGTGTTAGAGTGCATAGAAAGATCCATACATGCTCGCGGTCTGTTGAGTCTACAAGCAATAGTGTACAGAGAGGAACACCACGATTAATAGCAGCTGTTTTACATGCTGACTTTCCAGGTAATCTACAGACCCCAAATCCAAAATGCATCATGTCTATTGTGACATGAAGACTTGGTGTGCATTGTTCATACTCTACTGCATTAAGAGGGAAAATGCAGCATGTTAGTGAAGTGAGAGGTGGACCAGAAAAAAGCTACAAGATGTTGTTTTCTTATCTCTACATGTTAGAGATGGTAAATAGAGGGACTGTAACAAGTGTGGAGTTGGAAGAGAAGAAGTTCAAGTACCTATTCATCGCTTTGGGAGCTAGCATTGAAGGTTTCAGGGCAATGAGGAAAGTGATAATTGTGGATGCAACTCATCTCAAAACTGTATATGGTGGGATGTTGGTTATTGCAACAGCTCAAGATCCTAATCATCACCATTATCCTCTTGCATTTGGTGTAATTGATGCAGAGAAGGATGTTAGTTGGATTTGGTTTTTCCAAAAGCTGAAAACTGTATATCCAGAAGTTCCTGATCTGGTGTTTATTAGTGACAGGCATCAAAGCATCAAGAAGGCTGTCATGACGGTGTACACGAATGCGCATCATGTACACTGTATATGGCATTTGTCTCAAAATCTAAGACTCCGTGCGAAGACTGATAAGGATGGAGCTGCGAAGAAGTTCTTGGAGTGCGCTCATGCTTATACTGAGAGTGAGTTCAATAGAAAATATGGTATTTTTAGGAGTCGGTGGTCTAATGCTGCTGACTATCTAGATAAAGCCATAGAGAGAGAGCAGTGGTCTAGGTACCATTTCCAAGGAGACAAGTACAACATAGACACTAGCAATGCTGCGGAGTCCATGAACGCTGTGTTTAAGAAAGCGAGGAAGTATGACCTCTTACCTATGATTGATGCCATGGTTGAGAAGTTCTCTGAATGGTTTAACAACCATAGGCAAGATTCAGGTAATGCATCGAGCACATCACAGGTTGTGCCTTTTGTGGAGAACATCTTGCATGCTCGATGTCCAGTTGCTGCGAAGTTAAAAGTTGTTGAGCTTAACAGTTATAGACAAGAATACAACGTCATTGATGGGATGTCGGTCAGCTTTTTGGTGGATTTGAAAATGAAAACTTGTTCTTGCAAGACATTTGATATAGACAAGTACCCGTGTGTCCATGCCATTGCCGCAGCAAGGTTCCTAGCCCGCAAGGAAGGGAGAAATGCAGATGTAAGCATATATGGACTTTGCTCCGTCTTTTATTTGATTGATACTTGGGCATTGGCATATTACAGGACGTTGTTTGTAGTGCCACATGAGTCAGAATGGAATATTCCCGAGTCAGTTAAAGAGTTGGAGGCTGAGCCGCCGGATTACACTCCAAAAAAAGGACGCAATCAAGATAAACGGTTTCCATCTGTTGGAGAAAAACGGAGAAAGAGTAACAAAGCTGTTCCAGGAATTAACTTGGAGAGATGGCTACAGCCCGAGGATCCAGAAGCATCTTGATTAATTCCCTGGTTCAACCGGTACAACTTCTTTACCAATACGGTTCAACTGGAACAACTGGACCATTTTGGTTCAACTGGAACAACTGTGTAACCATTTGGGTTCAACCGGAATAACTTAAACAACTTTGTACTTGTATTTTTATTTGTAAGACTAATATCGCTTTGTAATATATGGATTATTATTTATAAGTTTGTAATATAAACTATTTTATTTCTTTACAATATTAGCAAGAATGGTTTCTGGGTTCAACCGATACAACTAGAAACAACTAAAACTACAAAAAAAATACAAAATTACATAAATTAAACCATAATAAGTGATTAAAACATTTTTAAACTCTGAAAGTACATTTAATACTTTTAATATATGATATGTAACATTATCAATAATTAATATGAGCAAAAACTAAAATTACACAAATCACTCTTTAGGTAACAAGGAACAATTAGTTCAAGATCATCTATAAAGATGGAAGAAGTATGAAAACTATGTTTTCTGACAAATTATTCTATGAAAACTTCTTAAACACCAATATAATGTGGAAATTGATGTGAACAACTAGATATCTATGGTATTTTTTAAGGTTCAACTACAAAATTACAAATTTAGAAATAGTTCAACTGTGAGGAAATTAGGACAACTGAACATCTAAAGACAACTATGTAGAAAATCTATTTATCGGGGGTCCCACAGAAATGTGTTCACACTAGTCTTTGACTAGTTTTTGACTCAAACCGGTCCCACAGAAATGTGTTCACACTAGTCTTCTCATCTAATAAAGAGAGTACTCTCTCTCTCTCTCTCACATCTCGACTCCGATTCTTCTTCTTCTTCTTTTCTCTCTTCTTCTCTCTTCTTCACGAGACCACTAAAAATTAGGGTTTTCAGATTTCTTCAAATTTTGCGAAATCTGGGTACTTCTCTCACATATCTTCTTCTCTCTTCTTCTTCTGTTATTGAAAACGAGAAACCCAAAAATTAGGGTTTTCAGATCTATGCTCCTTCTTCCTTCTCTCGCCGTTATAAGGTGTGGCAATTCTCTTAGACTACTTCAATTTAATAGATCTGCTTTCTACTAATTCGGATTTACTAAGATTTAATTGATTTATGTTTGATTGAATGGTCAGATCTACTCATCTTCTAAACCGTAGATATGCCTTATAGTTACTCCCAACCCTCCACATCCGTAGCAAGCATCAACAGTGGAGAATGTAATGCAGATGCCAATTATGGTGTTCCCGAGAGGTGTTTCTGTGGTGAGATGGTCAAACTTGAGCGATGTCTAACAGGACAGCGCCAAGGAGAGCGCGTATACAGATGCCCAGTGCTTAAGGTATGGTTTAGTTGCAATTCTGGAACAACTAAGTACAACTTGCTGGTTTTAACTTTTTATATTCTTCCTAGGATGGAGACGAATATAAGGATAATCGAGATTACCTAGTTCAATGGTGGGATTGGGCGGTAACTGAGGAGCTGTCCAAGATACACCACCTATTTGACAGACATAAAGATGACGTGTTAACCTCTCTTGAATATGGGAGGGGTGGAAATCCTGCATTGGAGTCGATCCGGGAAACTCTTCGTCTTATGCGTGAAGAAATTGATGACCTTAAAGAGAGGTTAGCCACAAAAGAAGTCGAGATTGCGAGGCTTAGGGGGTTACTTTCAAGGTGGTAATATTGTATGATTACCACCTACTCTTTGTAATATTTGAATTTGTATTTTGGATATGGAATTGTGTTTTCATGAAGTATTATTAGTAGTTGTACCTGCAGTAATGGTAGTTGTACTTGGTTCAACCGGTACAACTCCGACTTATATGTACTCACTAAGTATTTTTAATAGTTGTTGTCCCTGGATCAACTGGTCCAACTAAAATTTAAATATATTGTATTTAAATATATTGTATTTAGTAGTTGTCCCTGGTTCAACTGGTCCAACTAAAATTTAAATATATTGTATTTAGTAGTTGTCCCTGGTTGTCCACATAGTTGTCTCTGGATTATTAGTAGTTGTCCCTGTATTGTTAGTAGTTGTCCCTGTTGTCCATCGTTCTTAATAGTAGTTGTCCCTGTATTGTTAGTAGTTGTCCCTGTTGTCCATCGTTCTTAATAGTAGTTGTCCCTGTATTGTTAGTAGTTGTCCCTGTTGTCCCTGGTTCATCACATAGTTGTCCCAGGATTACTAGTAGTTGTTCCTGTTGTCCTACTTGTGTTAATAGTTGTCCCACGTTTGTTAGTAGTTGGACCAGATGCATAATTTTTTAAAATATAATTTCTGGATCATCCTAAACCCCAAATACAAAAAATGCACATAAACCACAACACAACCAAAAGATAGTACAATGTTTTGAATCCTAATAAAAGATAACCGCAAAATACTCAGAAAATATAAGTATTGTCCTACACAAAAGCAATTACTCATAAAGAGTGATCTCTCATAAAGATCACCTATTTCTTCTGCCGCTTCTTCCCCTTCCCCTTCCCCTCTGCTGTAAACTCTTCAGCCTGAAACCTGGAAGCCTTCCTTTGTCTCTTTTTCCCGGTCTGGATTGTAGGGCCACTATGCTTCGACCTCACTGCTTTCTTCTTCTTGTTCTCCTTCTCTTTCCTAGCCAGCTGCTCCTGATCACCTTCATCACCTACACAACTCCAATGTTAGAACATGTATGTTACAATAAAAACTACAAAAATGTAAACTCACTCAATTCTTGAATCTGGATTGGCTTAGGGTCTGTGAAACCACTGTGAAGGACCAAAGCCTTTGTCGGACTCGCTATTGGTTGATTAGCAGTTGGTGTACAATAGGTTGGCACAAAATCACTTGAAGTCCCTGGATGATACTCATTGTACCGCTCTTTCTCTAGCTGGACTGACACATAACCCTCTAAGTCTTTCACTCTCCCATCCAGCATACTCACTTTGCTATCCATCTCAGACAACTTCTCCATGATCTTCGCAAATCCTTTGTCCACAGCTGACTGTAATGAGAGGATATCACCAAGCCTCTCAGGGACTTCACCATCACTTTCTTTAACATCACCAAGCCTCTCAGCCACTTCAGGGACAACATCACCAAAACCCCGAGCCTGCAAGTCCATCTGGTATAGAATTTTCCACCAGATTTTCTTCTTCTTTCTGATCAGCTGCTCTCTCCAACCTTCAACAACTGGATCAATAAATCCCATCCCTTCATCAACATCTTTCTCAACAAGGCCAGACAACATCTCTTTCTCATCCATATCAGGTTCCAAGATGCTTGAGATATCCTGTCAAATACACATAGCATCAATCTCAATAAATATGCATACTAAGAGAAGTAAAGGCACCAAAAGCTAACCTTAATTTCACCAAGGGCTTGGTTTATTTCATCCAAGGTAAAGCCCTTCATGCAACTGTCAGTGAATTTAGATTTGCACATTCTTGGACAGTCATTAGCTGCGGGAACAGCTTCTCTGAATCGCCTTCCAAGCTGTGGTATGCACTTAAATGCAAAAATCTACACATTCACAATAACACAATTTTACTACTATAACTTAAACACTCTAACTCATTACAATATTCACAAGTTTTTACCTCAAGAGGAGTGATGAATCCAAAAAAGCTGCTCTGTGCTTTTGGTTTCACCTCACCTTTCATGTTTTTCATCATTCTCCGGATCCCTGTCATACATTGCTCAAAAGAATACCTTCCCCACGGGAATATCTCACAAGCATGAACATCATCAACAATCCTTAACAGGAATTGCTCTATGTTCCCATCACCCTTAGAATCAGCCTTCACAACCGCACATAAAAACAACAAAATAATCAACTTCTTCCTATCCAAACACTTCTCACTCTTAATAGCTGCCAACTTCTTTTCTACATCTTTGATTTTGATTAGGTCTGTCCTCCCAAACATCCTTCTGACAAACCTCAAACTACCCTTCTTCTCATGATTCTTTGGGTACTCATGGCAGTCCAACCCGGTCAACAAAGCATGCTCTTTCAAGGAGTACCTTATAGGCACTCCATTCACAACAAACCAACACTCATTCTCCATACCCGTGCGAGCAGTGCGAAGCATAAGCATCCACATGCCTTGAATCATGTGATTTGGTTCCTTAGGCATGTGGAATATATGCTTAAACTGAGCATGATTCCTAAACCAACTAACTTCCTCATCAAATGCCTTTATCATGGCCACTGTTTGGCCAACTTTACACCTACTACCTACCTTACATACCTTGTTGTACTCAGTTGGACTAAAGTACATGCTCTCTGGCGGCAGTGGTTGGGATTCCTCATCATCATCATCCTCATCTGTATCAGCTGCAACATCATTAACCCTCTCCTCTTCCTCTTCCTCAATAGCAATATCAACTATATTCTGCATATTCAAACACATACAACTGAGTACAACTATGTTTGTTGCTTACCTTTAACACCATATACAACAAATACAAACTGTTACTTACCTTAACAACACCAGCAACATCTTCCTCCTCATTATCACCACTCCTTTCTCCACCCTCAGCATCACCAACTCTCTCTTCTTCCTCGTTATCACAACCCTGACCATCAATTGACAACTCACGGACTTCTTTTTCTTTCTCCTTTGACTCACTGACTTCTTTATCGGACTCACTGACTTCTTTATCGGACTCACGAACGTCTTCATTTGACTCACGGACTGAGTCTTTCCCTTCTCTATCAGACAATTCCAGAACCGAAGCATCCACTCTTGGAACAAATACAGCAACAGCGGAATCCGTCGGATCTTCTGTCGGAACAGAAGCATCAAGCGGAGCTTTTGTTGGAACAGCGACATCCGTCGTCGAAGCTTCTCGAGACCTTTCTGTTGACTCATATTCCCTACCTCCCTCTATCACACGAGCCATATACGGAGGAGACGAAGACACGCGGAGGAAACGAATACGAACGGAGGCGGCGGAGACGAAAAGACAAATGAACGCGGAGGAGACGGAGGAGACGATTGACGGAGTACCACAGACGACGGCCGAAGTTCTGAGGCTAGAAGAAGACGACGGAGACGACGAGACGCCGGAAAACAAGCGACGGAGCGGAGAAGAGAGATTCGAGAGAGAAACGAATCGAATTCCCGGGAGACGGGTGAAATTTTTCTGAAATTTTACAGTTTTCGATTTACACTTAGGGAAATTAGGGTAAATTTGGGGAAATTTTATGGGCCGGGTTATTTTCAAGTGGGCTGGGTTCGGGTTTATTAGGTTGGGTCGTAGTTTTTTTATTTTCGTCTGGGTTTTTGGTAAATTACTCAGTTTTACGATTTAAAAGAAATTCAATAATAAAAAGAAAACATAACAGTGGCATGAGTGGTTAACATTTTTCCTTTTGTGGCACAAGAGGTGAACTCTCTCAATTACTCTCTGTCTTCTTGTTCTTCCTTCTCCAATCCTCTTCTCATCTAAACCCTATTCTTCTGATTCTCATCGTCTTTTTCACTTCTTTGGTAGAACCAAATCTGGCTCTATCAATTGGTGCTTTCATTGAGAGCCACAATTTTTTCTCTAACTGTGTGTATCGACAATATTTTTGACATTGTTTTTAAGAAATTAACAAAGAGCAATTCTCAAGGAGATGCTAGTGCAACTTGATCGGATGGAATCAATATTTAAGGATTTATATCGACCGCAAGAACTGGTAATGCAAACAGAAGAATCCAAACCGATGGAAATCATAGAAAAACTTTTGGGGAATTTTGTCGAACACATGGTGGGTGTTCAACCTCAGGACCTCTAAGGTTCCCATTACAGCTCAAAGCCTCAGAAACAGAAGGATTTTTGTCAAGGGAAGTAGTTACCACAAGGCTAGGAAAAGAAAAATGATGAGAGACCATCGTTCTCAATCTCTACATTGTAGCCTTTCGAGTTCTTTCACCGAGAAATCAATTGTATCTTAGAGAGGATAGATTCAATTCGATGACAGTAAATCTGGCAAAGGAAAAGCATACACAATGACTCGAAGATCTTGTTCGAAGCAACGATTTCATTAATTTCAGAAACGAAGATCTAAGGATAGATATCGAGTTGTGATAGCCTCATTCAGATCGAAGCATAACTCGTGGGTGGCGGCTGCAAAAAAAAGGGAGAAGAGCAACTCTTATAAACTTTTGTTCCCTCCTCGAGATCAATTAAGTGAGGATGGTGGGCAATCTCAAACTGCTACAGAATTCACAATTATTGAAAAATCCTTGGAGTTGTCTCTGTCCGAGCAAGTGTGGGAGCCAGGTGGAGTAATTGCGGAACAAGTTTATGGAAACTATTTGGAAGAGTGTTCCAAACATGATATCACTTGGATGATTACACAAAAGGGTCGTGAAATGAGTTTACACAAAAGGGCAAGAACGCTTATAACTCTGGCAAGGAAAATGAGAGATGGGATAGTGAACGCGTATCAATGCAGGTTAGCTCTGATTTTTCCTCTTTAGTCGAGTGGGGGAGCCCGGTGGATTTTTGGGTAAACAATCTCAATTGAACTGGTTAGTGGGATTGTATGGTTGTGATAGAATTCGAGTCTGGATAGTGAATGAAAGACTTAGACTCAAGGAATTTTCTAGTTTTGATCAAGAAGCATTGATTGGGATAGAGATATCTTGTTGTGAAAGGCATAAGTATATGTTGCTTCTTATTAACCGAAGCCTAGAGATGCAGAAATTTTCAAACTGCATGGCATTACTCAGTAGATCAAGAATGAGAAAATTTACTTGGACTTATTTGATAAAGATCAATTCGGATGGAAGCAGCATGAGTAACAGAACGACAAGGATGTGTCAACAGTTGGAACTATCCACAAATGATCTTACTGTGGGAATTGTTAGAAGGCTTAAAGCTCCACCGGAAGAATTTTGGGTAAACGACCTCGTGATCCAGGCTGGTTCAGCAAGCAGAGTCAGTGTGGCGTAACTTTTGAACAAGATTGGTGGATATTTTTGCATAAGTTAATCATACAGAATTATGATACAAAAATGAGGTTTGGACTCAAAAACAAGAATATGAAGCTTCAACATAGCCACACCAGATTGCACGTTGTTTAGAAATTCACCTTGAGGACAAGGTGTGTTTTTCAAGGGAGAGTAGTAGTAGGTGTGGATGGTTGGTCTTATGTGATACACGAAAGAAGGTAAAGGTATATGGGTGGTATGTGGTTGCTGAAGATTAAATCATGAACAGGCAGGTCACATGGTTAATAGTTGGTGTTCGAGTGTATTATGTTTTGAAGCGGAAGAGTGCAATTCGAGATGGGAAGTAGATAAATTTGGAAATAGATAGGAAGGGGTATCATTTTTCTAGAATCATTTTGGAGACTGCTGGAAACTCACTTACATGCTCCAAAACATATTGGAAAGAATTTGAGAAGACATTCATCCTTCTTGAAAGGTGAAGGAGTTCATCTTAAGGTCAAGGTTGGATTAAACAACAAGACTTGCCTCGTGAATATAGTCTTAAGGACATAATTTGACATGGAAATGAAAATGATTGGGTACAGCTATACCTTTAGAGTTTTGGCGGTAGATTTTCTTGTTGTGGATGCAGAATTGTAGCTGTGAATTTTAAAGTAAAAGCATGATTGGTAGATATTTGTTGTATGTTGTAATATTATGTATTTATTATGTAAACTTAAATACTTTGGAAATAAATAAATATTAGAAAAATACTTTAACAAAAAAGAAGAGAGCGAGAGATCAAAATAAGGAAAGAATAAGAGAGAGGAAAGAGAAAATATCTCACCGCTTATTTGTAGGTGCGGTAAAAATTTTGATTTCCAAAGCTAATATATACTGTAAAAACCTCTATAATTAATAATTTGAGGACCATAATATTTTATTAATTTATAGACCATAATATTTTATTAATTAATATTTATTATTTTAGAGTATAACTTATAGGTATTTTTAAAATTTTCAATTGTTTTGAAAAATACTAATTAGGAAACTTTAACAGAAGTAAAATTAGTCATTTGGATGTTATAACTTTTATAGTTTTGGAATTGAATTTTAATATTTTGAAAAAAGGTTCTGACAATAAATTACAGATCTTATAAATAAATTCACTTATACAAGTGATATACATAAACTCAATTTATGTTTAGTTACCTCAATTATTGTATTTTAACAGCGTATCAAACAAACAAAATGATTATGATACATATGTAGAAATTGAAAATTTTAAGGAAATTTTGGCTATTTTATAACATGTTATCGAAAATACTACAAGATTATAGTTTGAAAATACAACATAAAATATTTCTTATAGTGATGATCTTTAGGAGAAAATTCAAAAATCTAAAAACATACATTAATATATCAACTTATACATATATATGTATTTATACGATTGTTAATTTATGATATTATTTGGACCATATTTTTATATAAGGATTTCAAAAAATTATTATCTTATTATCTTATCAAATTTTGTTATTTTTTACACTGGCCTGACTCAGGACCGGTAAAATTTTATATTTTATCGTGTTTATTAATTTAACGAATAATAATTTATAAAGGTTTTAATGTATTTTTTTTTTTGTGTTGTAGCTTTTTTTCTTGAAGTAAAAGAATGATTGGTTTGCTATTTGGCTTTAGAAATAAAAATTGGCTTTCTACAGAATCTAAACCTCTTTCCAATCAGGCCTATAATTGCGAGGCTTGAATACTTTTCTATGAATCATAGCCTAGGAATATTACACAGAGACTTAAAGGTAAAGCCAGACAAAGAATGAAAAAGAAAAGCTTGGAACTGGAATTGGAAATAGGTATTATTTAATTATGTTATCGATATTATTTTTATTTCTTTGTTAAATTTTTAACATATTTAAAAATATGGTAGGGAAATTTGCACGTGCTTTCATTCATATAAAAAGTAATTAAGTTTTTGATTTTTTATTAATATAATAAAAATATTTAAATATTTGACATAGATTTTGGTCATTAATTATTGTCTGTCCACTTATCAATAAGACGTACTATAGTTTGGTGATAAATATGTTTGTGATCCAATTCATCTTATATATATAAAAAAACATATACAGTATTTCAAAAATCTTACATTTTTTTTTTATATTCAAGCTGAAAATAATTGAAAAATATTGCAAGAAAAAACTGTAAACTTGATTTAGTAATATTATGTCGACTGCATATACACAGAGTAGTTTTAGGGTTTAGTTGACTATGAGTCAAGACTTATTGATCCAAATAATGTTTTAAAAAAATTACATTATTGTTATCAACAAATAAAGAGAAAAAAATTAAATAATATATTTTCATTATACTTTGGACGGTAGAATCAATATCAATTAATAAAAAATAATAATGGTTAATGTATTCACATAGTTATGACAAAAAAGTTTTTTGCCAAATTCCCCATTTTGCCAAATTTCCCAGGAAAAAAGAACTATCTTGTAGAAAGTAAAAGAGCAACAGAAATAATTTAGATGCGCTACAGTTTAGAAAAATACGAGAAAAGAAATAATTAAAGGAAACCATACCATAAATAGAAAGTGGGTTCTATCACACCACACATTCTTTACTCGCCACATTGCTTCTCTATCAGTGAAAGTGGGAGGCAAAAGTACATTTTTTTTTTTTTGGTAGAAAAAAGTTTTTTTTTTTTTGGTAGAAAAAAGTACTTTGATTATTCCGACAAAATCTCTTTGTTTTTTTTGACAAAAAAAAAGAAACAAAATAACTACAATCTCTTTGTTTATGTCACAGTTAAAACATCTCTAGTCTCCTAAGATTTATCTATGTCTATGCAAAAGAAAAACTTAGGAGAGATAACTTACTTATTTCTACATTTACTTGGAATTGTAGCTTTGAAGGAAAAACTCTTATATTCGGTACACAAGTCCTACATTACAGTAAGACTGGTCGAGCGTATTCCTACAGTTTCTCGAATCCTCTCTCTGGAAGTGATCTTATATATTAAGTTAGTCCATTTAATTGGAATTGAGGGGTACTTATTAGGGAGATTATTGGTGTGAACGGGGTCACTCATCTTGAAAATTCCCAAGATGTTACATTAATATGTACAATTATATTAGACTGAGAATTGGTTCCTTGATAATTTCTAGCAATCATATATATGAAAGTTGGCCAACTCTCTCCATCCTTCCGCCACGTCAGCAGTGGAGAGAATGTCATGTGTCACATCAATATATTACATTTATGTTTTAATTTAATTTAATTAAGAATTTAAATCATACATTAATTCTTGTTTATATAAAAAATACATATTTTAACTAATTAATTAAGTAATTTTAATTAATTATATAAATATATATCAAACTCATATATAATTAATTATTTAAATTTAGCTGTATAAGTTGTATAAACTTACGCATAAATATAAAATCAATGGAAGTTTAATTAAAAATTTTAATTTTATTAAATTATACTCCCTCTGTTCCTAAAAGAATGATGTTTTCAGTTTTGCACACAATTTAAGAAAAAAAAGTTTTTATATTTTTTAATTATTATTTTATTAGTTTGATAATAGTAGTTTTACTTCTCTCTTTTCTCTATTGGTCACAAACAAAAATAATGATGATGTTTTTACAAAACATCAATCTTGGTGGAACAAGTAAAAAACCCAAAACATCAAATAATTAGGAACAGAGGGAGTATATATTAAATTATACTATATTAGAATTTATTTCATGTTTTCATATACTATCATATATATAGGATTAATGACAATGAATATTATTTGAATTTACGGTTTATTTTAAAAATATAAGATACTAAATCAACACTACTTTTTTCGTTTATTTAAAAATACAGTAAAGATATTTTTGTAAGGTAAGTAATTGGAAATAAGTGTTAAACAATTTAATTAAAAATATATAAAGAAATAAACAAAAAATAGAATGAATTATTTACTCGAAAGTTAGAGAAATACATAAAGATGATTATTAGAAAAAAAAACCAAAAAGATTATTAATCAAATTAATTCAGTCAATGTAAATTATTGTAACTAATAAATTATGAATTAAAAAAACCCGCATGTTGTGCGGGTATTGGCCTAGTTACATTAAACATTAATACGTGCTTCTTGCCTAAAACGGAACTGTGTCGTTTTAGATCTAGTTCTAATGTTAGAACATTTCAGGGAAACTTGGGGACAAAGTAGATTCGTGTCTTGTTGTTGTACAAGCCATGACAAGGAAGAATCAAGGTGAGGCTTCGCCAAAATGAAGAAACGAGAGGAGGACAGTTGTTCTTCGCCAGTGCACACATGGTTTTGTTTTGATCTTTCACTATTTTGTTAATGAGGAAAAAAAAAAGAAAAAAAAAATTATTTGGGAGAAGTCTCTACTTCAAGTAGAGGGTTTGAAAAACCACATATTTATCTGAATTTTGTAAATAAGCTAAAGAGTTTTTTTTTTTAATTTTGTTAATTACATTTTCATAAATATGAGAGTAAATTTGGGTTTTGATTTTTAAAAACCTATTTCATCAAACTTTTATAGAAAGGTATATATGGACATTTATCTATTAACTACCTCGTTTCTCTTTCTCGTCAACCATGTCAAGGAGCGGCTCATATGGTACTGTATTCGCAGCCCTCACGAGCTTTGCATATGTTCAGTAGCTTTGTTAGTGGGAGGAGATTGCCCAACAAACCGCATTTGTCTATTGATGATTGAAAGAGATGATAGTGGAGTTTGGGTGATTTGGTTGGAAGTATCTACCCTTATATTACATGAGTCGATATATAAACATATTTGCGTCTGCGTTGTGTGTTGCTTGGATCTTCTTTTAGTTATACTAGGGGGAATCCGGGCTACGCCCGTATATATATTTGATCGACATTTACATTTAGCATATTTGATTAGTTTGTTGAATATGTTAGCAAAACTCTATTGAGTATGGTTTTCTATGTCAAATAATCATAACTTGGTAATATTTCTAGCACGTGTTGTTTCTTTTTGTGTTGGTAGTTTGTTTTTCTTATATGTTGATAAGAATTAGAAAGTAATTGCCTCGTCCATTATACATGAGCTTTAATTCAATGTGAGTATACAATTTAACGGGATTTTACATCATTTTATTATTTTATCTTTCCTAAAATAGACTCTTGATAATTACATATATATATGGTAGTTAGTGTATTTTTAAAAAAATTATAGCTATCTTGAATGGTTTTGTATTATCAAAACTGGTCCAATATAGGGAAGGTTCAGAGGAAATTTTAACAATAATGTTGTCGTTCTAAAATATTTTAAATTAGAATCTTAATGACATTAATTTTAGAAAATCAGTACAAAATTATCACATATTTTTTAAAACATCTATTTTGATGCATTTAACGATAATTTTTTTTATTAGAAAAATAAACTGAAGAAAAGAAATGAAAATATTTTAACAAAAAATAAGCAAAACATAAGCAATTTATAAACAAAATGTAAGTAAATCCATAAAAAAAAACTTAAATAGATGTTTTACCGTCATAGCGGTTCGTAACTTTCGAAAACCTACAAATGAAACAACACAACGTATCCAAGAACTCACAATTATAATACACATACATAAATTTTCATACATACTCATTTATATAATCATTTAATATAACTTACGACCAAACTCAATAATTTCATAGTTAGTTGGTTGTTTGCACAAAATCTATTGTCACTACCTCGTTTATGAGTTACTAAGAGACGTGTGTGTTGAAAACAAGGAACTACCATGACCAACAAGATACAAGATTGTTGTTGGTATAATCGCGGGGCTTGAATACCTTCATATGGATCATAGCCCAAGAAATATTACACAGAGACTTAAAGCCAAAGCCAGACAAAGAATGAAAAGGAAAAGCTTGGAACTGGAATTAAAAATATATATTATTTAATTATATAATCGATATTAATTTTACTTCTTTGTTAAATTGTTAACATATTTACTAAGATGGTAGGGAAATTTCCACTTTCTTGTAGTCCTATAAAAAGTAATTTTTTTTTATTTCTTTATTAATGTAATAACAATATTTAAATATTTTGACATATATTTTGGTCATTAATCATTATTTGTCCACTTATTGAGAAGATGCACTATAGTTTGGTCATATACAGTTATTTTAAAATCTTACATTACTTATATTCAAGCTGAAAATAATTAAAAAATATTGCAAGAAAAAAAATGTAAACTTGATTTAGTATTAGGGAAATTGTTAAAAATGCCCCTTTTGGTGTGTCCCTTTTCAAAAATGCCCCTTTTAGATGTCCATTTCAAAAATGCCCCTTTTTAAATCTGAAATTTTTATAAAGTTTTATTAGGTTTATAAGGTACTTATGGATTGTAACTACTACTTGAAGACTCGATCCAAGTATTTATAAGGTTTTATAAGGTGTTTTTAAAGGTTTTACAAGTTAGTTTAAAAGATTTTTAAGGTTTCTCAAAGGTTTTACAAGATATTTTAAAGGTTTTAAAGGTATTTAAAATACATTTATAAGGTATTTATAAAGTATTTATAAGATTTTAGATACATAAAAATGTAGTTTGTGTATGTTTTAATAATGTTACATACACATTTGGGTAAATTTTATATTTTTAAGAGCATTTTTTATAAGGTTTTAAAGAAGGGACATTTTTGAAAAGTGGCATTGAAAAAGGGGCATTTTTGCAAAAGCCCTTATTAGTATTATTATGTCGGTTGCATATTAAAACGGTATTCTATGTTTTAGGGTTTAGTTTACTATGGGTCAAGACTTATTGATTAAAACAGCTTTTAGAAAATCTACATTTTTGTTATCAATAAATAAAATATTTTCATTATACTTAGGAGGGTATAATCAATATCAATTAATAAAAAATAATGTTTATTGTATTCATTGAGTTATGAGAAACACAATTTTTGCCAAATTTCCCAAGAAAAAAATAACTATCTTGTAGAAAATAAGAGAGCAACATAAATAATTTAGATACTATCCATTTTAGAAAAACACTAAAAATAAAGAATGAAAGGAAACCATACCATAATTGGAAAGTGGGGTCTATCACATCAAACTTTCTTTACTCGCCACATTGCTTCACTAGGCAAAAGTACTGTACTTTTTTTTTTTCTTGTAGGAAAAGGTACTTAGATTATTCCAAAAAAATTTCTTTATTTTTTTGACAAAAATAAAAAAAGAAAAAAAAAACTAAATCTCTTTGTTTATGTCACAGTTGATAATCTTTTTTGTGAGCTTATTCCTACAGTTGATAATCTCTTTGTTTATTTCTCTCCAATCCTCTCTTTGGAAGTGAGCTTATATATCAGGTTAGTCCATTTAATTTGAATCGAGGTACATATTAGGGAGATTATTGGTGTGAACGGGGTCACCGATCTTGCAAATTCCCAAGATATTACATCTATATATATATTTTTGGATCACAATTAGCAAATAAATCCTGAAGTTGAGAAGTATTTACAATGACATGCCATTAGCATTAATTATTTAGATTTGTTTTATTTAAGTAAAGATTTTTAATTGAAATTCATTTCTCATATATTTAGCAAAAGTCTCTACAAAATCTTTCCTTATCTATTTAAGTAAAGATTTTGAAATCAAATATGTTCTCAACAATTTACCAAAAATCTCTACACAATCTTTTTAAAAAACTCGACTTAGTTAACTTCTGATTTTTATCTGCAAAAAAAAAAAATTAATTGTAACGAGTGATGTAAAAATCGGGAATGTTGATACTACAATTTCTTCTACTTCTTTTTTTCATATAATGAAAATTATTTTTTAGGGATATTTTCTTAAAACCTCTAAACAAAACAAAGGGTTTCAAAAGATAGCTTCTCTTTTGGCTGGTCGATCCGCAAACCCGCAACTCTCTACGGGCTTATCCGCATGAACCTGCGACCTGTAGTGGATAAAAATATTATTCAAAAAAATAACAAATGATGTTTAATTTTACGGGACGGGGTTATATGGTGCAACGGGTTTAAATCAATATTAATATTAAACAATATACTATGGATGAAATCCTAGAATTAAAAATCAAAATTTAATTATAAAATCAGAAACACTAAACAAACTAAACAATATTAACAAAACAAATACAACTTAAAATTTTGCAAAATAATTTTTTAGTTATAAAAAAATCGACCCTGCGGTACACCGCAAGAAAAAACCTAAGCTCTCCGGCCTTGTTCCACAACCTCCCTTTCTTCCACCATCAGGCCTTTTTCGGAACCTTTCTCCTAAACTGAGGCAAGAAGTAGAAGAAAGTCAAATGTCGTTTAAGTGTATATATAGATATACCATTTAAACCTAAAACACAATTAATATACTCAAAACTATTAATATAGATATATGGATGGTACATTTATAAAATAGGTCGAAATATTATATTATACTCTCTATTAATAAACAAAACTAATTATGTTTAGATTTTTTTTTAAAAAATTATAGCTCCGCGGTGTACCGCGGATTCAAATCTAGTTAATATGTACAATTACATTGGACTGAGAATTGATTCCTTAATAATTTCTAGCAATTACATTAAACATTAATACGTGTTTCTTGCCTAAAACGGAACTGTGTCGTTTTAGATCTAGTTCGGATGTTAGAACATTTCAGGAAAACTTGATATAAACCCAAGATAGAGCTTGATATAAACCTGATTCTAGTGGATTCCGGGACAAGAAGTTTCCCGGCGTGATTAGGGTTTCAGATTGAGACCTGAACACGTAAAAACTCCATCTTGCACATTTACTTTATCTGCAATTCTCTGTTTCTTGTTCTGTTTTCAAGTCCTCGTCAAAGTTCTTTACAAACGAGTGCTAATCCAAGAGAGACAGTGAGTTTCTTCGGCAAAGACGTGAGTTTTATGAACTCTTAACCTCACACTGTATAATTTGGATTCTGAATGTTGTTTTGAGTCTTGGAATTGCAATTATATGTTCTGTTTATGGATCTGTAATCCAGGTTATCCGACTGTATGCTATCTATCATATTTTCGATTTAACAAAAGTCATTATGTGGTTCAAAAAATAATGGAAGAGAAACTTATAAAATGCTGTTGATTTTTATGTGTAAAGTTTCAGTGAGATTGAAGTTAACTTATAACTTCTTGTTGCTTTTGTATTCTGACATGTTTAAGAACATGGAATCACGCCGGGCCGTTGTGGCGACTATGGTCGTGGTATTGGTCACAGTGCAGTGGTTGGGATATACTTTTAGGTTTGCTGAAGGTTATCCGGAAGAAGATATGGTGGTGAGGCTGCCTGGTCAACCGAAGGTCGGGTTCAGACAATTCGCTGGATATGTCGATGTGGACTCGGAGAATGGTCGTAGTCTTTTTTACTACTATGTTGAGGCTGTAAAAGAACCTGACACTAAGCCCTTAACCCTTTGGCTCAATGGAGGTCTCTGTTTTGTTTCTCTGTTTCTGCATAATTTTAAGCTACTTCCCTAGCTAGTTTAGAATTTGGGTATTGAAAAATGTGTGTTTGAGGTTTGTATTGCAGGTCCAGGTTGTTCTTCAGTTGGTGGAGGAGATTTCACTAAGTTAGGTCCATTTTACCCCACGGGTGATGGCCGTGGCCTCCGCTTGAACTCCATGTCTTGGAACAAAGGTTTGTTTTTTTTTTTTGACAATTTTATGCAAAAAACAAAGAACTCTGTGATTCTACATCTTGATGCTATTGTCTCTTGTTGTGAAATGTGTAGCCTCGAACCTGCTATTTGTGGAGTCACCAGCCGTAGTAGGATGGTCATACTCTAACAGAAGCTCTAATTATAACACCGGGGACAAGTCTACTGGGAAAGTAAAAATTCCATTTTTCAGACTATATTAGAAGATTGTTGTTTCCTGACTGCTTTTGCTTTTAAACAGCCAATGATATGCTTGTGTTCTTATTGAGATGGTTCAACAAGTTCCAAGAGTTGAAGTCTCGCGACCTCTTTCTCACTGGCGAAAGCTACGCAGGTGTGTCTTCGATTATTAGTTTAAGAAATGGCTATGAGAAAACCAATTTTTCTGATCTTTATTATTCTGAAGATGTAATTCGTTTAGCTTAACAATCTTGGTGGGTTGGTGTTTCATCATGTTACTTGTCAGTGGTTTTTCCTTTTGTCTAACCAAGATTTGATTTGATTCTCTGACAGGGCACTACATACCTCAACTGGCTGATGTGATACTCAGCTACAATTCACGCTCAAATGGGTTCAAATTTAACGTCAAAGGCATTGCAGTAAGCAAGAGAACCTTCTTCTTGACGTTTCATCAACTCTTTTGGCTCTCTTCTGATTTCTTTATGTGTGTGTTTTCTTTCTGATCAGATTGGCAATCCACTTCTGAAGCTTGACAGGGATGTTGCAGCTGCATACGAGTACTTCTGGTCGCATGGGATGATCTCTGATGAAGTAAGACTCACAATCATGAACCAATGTGACTTTGCCAATCCAAAGAACATGAGTAATGCTTGTATACATGCTATCGTTGACTCAAGCGTCCTCACTGAGTATATCAATAGCTATCATGTTCTCCTTGATGTATGTTACCCTTCTATTGTCCAGCAAGAGCTGAGGCTCAAGAAAATGGTTAGCCCTTTTCCACCTTTTTTTTCCAATAGAAAAACATGTCTGTAAATTTATGAAAATGGTTTCAGGCTACTAAGATTAGCATGGGAGTTGATGTCTGTATAACATACGAAAGAAGTTTCTATTTTAATCTCCCGGAGGTACAGAATGCGCTTCACGCAAACCGCACTCGCCTACCTTATGAGTGGACTATGTGCAGCAAGTAAGTTGTTTTACCCTCTTTTAGTTTCATTGATCACAAACAGTGAAGCTTACTGATTGCTATTGGCTGTTTCACTTTGACTATGTCATAGCCGGTTAAACTACAGTGGCATCGATGGATACATCGACATGCTTCCGATTCTTAAGAGAATTATACAGAACCAAACTCCTGTTTGGATCTTCAGGTAAGATTTCTATTAAAGATCTCTTTATCTAATTCTTTTCTTGTATTCTGCAGCTATAAACCCCAGCTTGTTGAAATTGTAGTGGAGACCAAGATTCTGTAATTCCACTTCAAAGTTCAAGAACACGCGTACGAGAACTTGCTCAGGATCTCAACTTCAAGACCACTGTTCCCTATGGAGCCTGGTTCCACAAAGAACAGGTAGTTCCCTTCACCATCAAAACAATGCTAATTAAGTTAAGTTCTTGTGATTGATTGCTAACTTGTGGATCTTGGGGTTTTGACTAGGTTGGTGGCTGGGTCACAGAGTATGGGAATCTACTGACCTTTGCAACGGTGAGAGGAGCGGCTCATATGGTGGCCTATGCGGAGCCCTCACGAGCTCTGCACATGTTCAGTACCTTTGTGACTGGCCGGAGATTGCCCAACAAACCAGATTTAAAATCTTCTATTGATGATTGAAATAGAAACATATTAGGGTTTGTATTTATATATTTGCAAACATTGTGATGAGAATATAGTATTTCTCGTACGCGTTCTTGAACTTTGAAGTGGAATTACAGACATTGTGATACATTAAACCCCACGGGATTATAGGTCTGTATTTCTGTTTACAGACATTGTGATACATTGTCACGATTCTGTAATGACGAACCGTGAACCCCACGGGATTATATTTATATATTTGCAAACATTGTGATGAGAATATAGTATTTCTCATAGATTATTGGAGTGTGATTTTTATCAATATTTTTATTACTTATATGATTTTGATAAATGATGAGTCTTATCATTGTCATTTGGACGTATTTTCAAACGCTTATTAGACATAGCTATCTCTTGATTATGATGATTTATGATAATGGTTTCATTTCATAGTATCCACTCAACAACGTTGACAAAAAAAAAAAAAAAAAACACGGACTTTGGTTACAAGGGATCCTTTGCGGGATTTTGGGCTTAGTCAATCTAATGATATAAATTGCAAGATCTTTTGCCTTTTTTTAATAATTGGATAGTTATATAACGAAGGAACTAGGATCGGACCCGCAGTCCACCGCGGGAGAATATTGGTTTACATACGTTGCGTTTAATATTGTGTGTGTTTTTTAGTAGAACGAATCGTGTAGTATACTTATAAATATTTATAATAACGAATTGTAGAGAAAATGTAAAATTGTTTATAAATATACCCATCGTATTAATTATGATTTACAAAATAAAATTGTGTTTAAAAATTCTAAAATTAGACGATTCATGGGAATTAGAGCAGTCAAAATAGGTCAAAAACCGCGGGTCGAACCCACATCATCTCACTATGGGGCAGATTTGGGAAAATATATTAAACCCGCAAATAAGCAGACCACATGGATTAATTCGCAGTGGGTCATAGGTTTAATCAGTTTTCATCCGCGGGTTGGCGGATCAGCCCGCATATTAGTATTTATTGATAAAATTATAATTTATTCAACATGTGGTAATTTAAACAAACTTTTAATAGTATTTTGATTTATTTATTTATTTTAGTAGTATTTTAAATTTTGGTTACTTTAAAATTATTTAAACAAAATCCATGGACAATCCCGCAAATCCGCATACATTCGCGGAACAGGTTTGTATTTCATATATGCTACCCGCGGGTCGTGCAGACCGACTAACTACAAGTCAAAATATTTTTTGTCTATCGCAAAACGGACTTAACGGGACAAATCAACTCGCTTTGACAGTTCTAATGGGAATATTATTTAGTCATACAACAAAATGAAGTTTGGACATAGTAATAATAGAATATGTATCTTATTTGTTAGATGAGAGATTGAAAGATGAAGTATAATGATTAAAAATTAATTTTTTTTTTCATGATTCACAAAATTTAATAAATACTTATCATCTTGTTGAATAATTCTAAAATCATATTCAAGAAATCTTTATAAATTGAAAATTAAACTTCTTTGGTAAGCTATAGGTATGAAAATATCATAATTTTGATTAATCTAATTAAATTAAAATTAGTTACATGGATTTCATATCTATTTAATTTACACGACCAAAATAAAAATATCTATTTAATTTACACGACCAAAATAAAAATATCAATTTAATTTATAAAACAGATGGGTTATTTGTGATAAATTTTCTAGAAATCTTTAGAAGCAAGTAAAATATCTTTCAATTAATGATAATTGGCTAAAATGGGCGAAATTAATGACAAAAACGTTGATTGTTATGGAATTAGTCACAAAAATATATGAAAAAATTTATTATACGTAATTAATGTATAATATTGTTTGGAATATGCTTTTATTATTAGTTACCATAAGTACAATTAGATTTTATTTGATTTCCATAAATATTTGTTTTTTATTTCAATTTTTCATTATTAATTCGAATTTATATTCCAAAAAAATTTTAAAGATCCGATTTCAGAATTTCGGGTCAATTTTCTGATTTTAACCCGACCCATTTTCAATTGTACTTCTCTTTTAATAGTATAGAGATGTATTTAATATAATTTTAATAATATTTCTGTTTATCCTAATTTTAAAAATTAACTAAACATAGTTCTTGGAATTATATCAACTAAATATTAAATTTAAGAGGTTATTTACATCTTATCCTTAAAAATAATTTCAAGTTAGAACCTTAAAATTAGTTAGATCTATTTAAATTTTTTTTTAATTATATTTTGGAAAACAACTTTATGTTTTAACAATATGTAAAAAAAAAAAAATACACATTAGACAAGTGTATCATACATTCAAACGTAATTAGGTAAGAAAATCAATCTCTTGATTTTCTTTTGATTATAAAAAGCAAGGAAATTAAATTGCAAGATTTGTTTCTTTCTTAAAAAATTAAATACCTTTAGGTACGTTGGTTTTTATTATATATATAAACATATGTAGTACATGAGAAAAACAAAGCGAAAATCATAGTCTTTGAAACAAAAAAAAAAATAACCGAAAATCATAGACACAAAATGGCTATCAGCAAGAAAATGTTAACTGTATTTGTCCTCACTATCCTCTTAGCCGTATCTTTTGTCCATTGCTCCGATAGAACCTCTGGTATTAGCTTATTATCATACTCCTCACCTTTTTTTGTTTAAGTATGCATATATATGTTTTTTTTGGTATCCTTTTTATGATTGTGAATATTGGCGTAATGATTCTTGTTTAATAGGTTTTGGTATAAATCAAGAGTATGCAAAATGCTACGACCTAGCTGATTGTCAAAAACCCAAAGTGGACGATGCGGCATGCGAGAGGTTTTGTGGAGCTAAAAGCTTTTTATTATATGGTAGATGTGATGTTGCTACCAACAAATGTTGTTGTAAGTCTAAGACGAAATAATCTATTCGCATATATGTATCCGGTTGACAAAGAGCATCATTAGATTCATATGGTTTTGATCATCAATCAATAAAAGAGATCGAGAGTGAAATACACAAACCCTACCAATTAAAATTAGCTTGATTAAACCGGAGCGATTATATTGATTACATCATAACAAATATTGAAATATGAATAAGCAGATAATGGGATCATTACTTTGACGTCTTGTGTTTAGTATCTTTTGTAAAGCTAATTGCCAACACATGATTCTTAGAAAGAGTTTTAGGTGAAGAGAGTATTTATGAGTGTGATTTTGTGCATATTCTGCCAACACATGATTCTTCAATCGGTTTTAGCACAACTTATTTCCCTTGTTTTTGCTGGAACATTTATGTTCCAAAATAAGTTATATGAATCTCTCCAAGAATAGCCGAAAATCCAAGATATTTGGAAACATAATGTATAAGTAAAATCATGACTTGAATCATATAGTTCTCGAAAACTACGGGAAGACAAGACATAATCATGGGCAATAACTGAAACGAAAGTACGGAATTAAAACCAAACTAAAACTAAACCGAATTCTAAAATATTCAAATAGATATTAAATTCTAGAAACAAAGGAATCAAAACCGAACTTGTACCAATCTATCTCCATGACGTAACCATACATAGTAGTTTGGCATAAACCTTCTATTATATAAATGCTTTTTTACTAGATTAAAGTCCAGATATTTATCGTTGAGGCACTTACGACATGGGCAGAATATTGAACCATTCGCACGAGCAAATGATTTGTTTGTCGCTTGGTACATAAAAGCCATCAGTAAACTCTTTTGTCACATCACCGGTCGTCGGATCTCTATGATTGTACATGCATCCATCTTCGTAGTGTGAATATCTCATGGTCTCCATTTGATAGAGAGGTAGCATACGCATCAGCTCGATCGAGTCTCGGTGAATATATTCCAATTCACAAATTACTAGCCGAGCTGCACCCCCTTCTCTACCAAACTAGCCAGTTGAAGTGTTTTTTCTTTTGAAGGATTTTTTTGTAAGTAGATTGTTTTTTGTTTTGAGTTATAATTTATTAATTTTTACATCTCTTATATTTGCTATTTATAAAAAAAAAATTTGCCATGGAATTGCTAGCTATATTTGCAAGAGAATTGCTAGGAATCATAGATTTACTAGGATTTTGCTAGGGATTTTCACCTACCATTTTCACCTACCAACAAAGTAGTTACGTTCAATTAAAATTTGCTCACCTAACTCAAGAGTTACTTGTAAATCCATCGCAGATTTTGTTCTGGATTAGAGCGTTGCTAATCCCTCGCAAATTTGTGCCTGACTTGCGAGGGGTACATCCGTCATAGCAGATTCTTCGTAAAACTCTCGCAAATTACCTGCACATCCATTGCAAAATTACGAGGGATATTTTCTCTCGCAAAATTTCCTTGCAAATCGACTGTTTTCTTGTAGTGTATATACCTAACAATATTAGTTTTTTAGACCGAATAACAAAAAGTACCTAAAATACCCGAACAAGCCCGAAAATATAAGAATGGATCATAAATTTTAGAACTAAAAGAATCGGATCCGAACCAAAAAATTCCGGTAACCATATAGATCTTAAACTCTGGAAAAAAAAGAACCGATCCGAATAGCGAACGCGCAGACGTACCAAAATCTCTTATCCCACTAACATTGGGTCTGAAAGCCCACTAACATTGGGTCTGAAAGCCCACTAAATCTAATGTCTAGCTTGATTAAAGAGCACATTGGGCTAACTCGCGCCGTGCATATATGATCGTATATCTGAAAACAAAATATCGTCACAACTACAAAACACATGAAAGTAATAAAAGCTTCTATTAGAAAAGGAAACTACTATCTGTTGGATGTGTTTGTCCTCATCCGACCATATTTCGTTTTCATCATGAAGCTCGATAATCCTATTTTGGGCTCGGCGTTGTTTTGTCAGGGCATGACAATATTCCGAATTATGATACCCTACACGCATCCACAGACTCCGACTTTTTTGATAGCAGTATATTTCCTCTTCACGATAAGCCTCTCGCAACCGTATAGTTAATTCCTTTATTAACTCCGGTGATTGACTATCATCATTTTGTGCTACTTTTAACTCGATTTTAAGTTCTTCAATAGATTTTCGCCCATTCGGGGTTAAGTTTTTCCTCTACTCTGAAATCACACTTTTTTGACAAAATTTCCCTCGCCCAAATTCCCCTATAATTGCCAACTGTCAGATCTTGTCTCTAAAAGTCCCTCCTTTCCAATCCATCGTTTGTCAAAGCGAAAAGTTTTCTTTCCTCGTGGGACCTTATCCGCAATCGTCGCTACCACTGGTGTGTGATCCGAAGCGACCATCGGTAAATATTCAATAAATGAATTACAGAACAAATCATGCCATTCTTTGTTTGCTAGAGCTCTGTCCAACCGACACCAAATCGGTTTTTTATCTCTCTACCCACGCCATGACAAGAAATCCCCGATATACGGAAACTCAAGTGAACCGCAATCTCTAATCATTAAATTAAAAAGGATAAACGATGATGCATGTCTTAATTTATCACCTCTTTTCTTGTGATTTCCTTTTAGCTCATTAAAATAGCCTATTAAAAACCAAGGTGTATTCCGAGTCACCCCGATACGCATAATTCTCTCTCACCATTATTCTTTTATTAACTACCGGTTCTCCATAAACAAAGGTAAGATGAAGTACTTTTCCTTTAATAGTAACTCCATTATCAATAAGCTGATTGTTGGTGTCGGATCCCGCACCAGAAGTACGAGACCAACCAAAGATTGCCACGTAGTCAAGATAATGGCCCATAAAGGATGAAGCTCATTGGACCCATGAGCCGAAGGAAAGGTCGAAGTGGTTATCACCACTTCGAGAATCCGAAGTGACTGCATTATGACATGAGTTCGGTGTAGAAGACACGGGTAAGACGGTTCAAGGAACTTTGGGCCGAAAAGGCGAGGCCCACGAAGATCAGAGTCAACTCAAATTCAAACGTTGAGCATTAAAGTCAAGGAATCAAAACGGACACATTTAAGAAGGAATAATTGTACTTAATTACTCATTTTAATGTCGTTTCTCTATGTATAAATATAAAGGCCAATGGCCATGTAAAGAGGATCTTCCTCTGAAGAAAGAAATACTATAGCAATTTTCGTAGCAATTTATAAAGTTTTTACATATTCATTTTTGTCCCTCAAGAATAATCTTTCCTACTTAATAAAATACTTGAGTGTGTGAATCCGACATCCACATTTTGGCGCCGTCTGTGGGGAGATAGGATTCTTGAGTGGTCAGATTTTTTCTTTATCACACTTCCGAGATAAGCAACAATGTCCGGAGGAGACGCCGTTGAGACATCATTGGCCGAAACCCTCAAAGCTATGCAGCAAACCATGTCGGACATATCACAAAAGTTCTCGGATGTGGAAAAGGCCGTCGATACGTTGCAAACATCCCAGGTATCTCTTAGTCAAAACGTCAATACTATACAAACTCGTGTTCGCTCTTTAAGTGCAGGAAACCTGGTGGGAATCCGAAGAGGGATATTCAACTCGCCAAGTTCCGCTGCACGAAATGAAACCAGCGGACAAACAACTCCCGGTGATACTAATAATGTAGCTCAGACGTTGGAAGAAGAGACACAGCTCGGGGATGAAGAACAACTTGCAGCTCAGTACGAGCAGGAAAACCTCGACCAGTTCGAGACCATGAGGAAGGTTAGCCAGGAATTAAAAGAAATGAAATCAAAATTTCATCAAGCTACAAGTTCGGAGCCAGACATCAATCGAGTCATTGAAGAAGCTAGGCGAACACCTTTCATCTCGCGAATTGCAAGTTTGAGGATCAAAGATTCCCGGAAGCTCAAGTTGGACCCTTACAGCGGATTGGAGGATCCAAAAAGCTATCTCGCAGCTTTTCTGATCGCTGCTGGAAGAGTTGAATTGGATGAAGCTGATGAGGACGCATGTTACCGCAAGCTTTTTTCGGAGAATCTATGTGGCCAAGCTCTAATGTGGTTCACCCAATTAGAGCCGGGTTCGATCAGTAATTTCGACGAACTATCAGCCGTATTCTTAAAACAATATTCCATCCTTATGGATAAAAGCGTTTCGGATGCCGATCTTTGGAACTTATCGCAAGGGTCAAGTGAGTCACTTCGAGTTTTCATCACCAAGTTCAAAGGAGTGCTGTCAAAGCTCCCAAGAATCTCGCAGCAATCAGCTTTATCTGCCCTACGAAAAGGACTGCGACATGATTCAAGGTTTAAAGAAGACTTAATACTTCACAAACCAGACACAATTCAGGATGCACTCTTCCGCGCGAACAACTGGATGGAGGTAGAGGACGAAAAAGAAAGTTTTGCCAAAAGAAATAAGCAAGAAAAGCCGGCGATCACCATCCCTACCAAGAAGTTCGAGCCTAGGGAGAGCAAAGGACCAAGGAAATTTGGGTCGCAACCCTTCAACAGTACCGTCGGAAAGCAATTCCAAGGGAAAGGAAGATCAAACACTTGGGTCCGTGATGAAAGTCTATATTGCGACATTCATAAAGTAACCGGACATTTAACCAAGGATTGCAGCGTTCTTAAAAGGCACCTCGCAGAGCTTTGGGCCAGTGGAGATCTTTCCAAATTCGATATAAAAGATTTTGTGAAGGAATACCACGAAGCAAAGGAAAACTCCAAAGATCAAGATTCCAAAAGACCAAGGTTATCCAACGAGGAAGAACCAAGGAGTTCGAAGGGTAAGATCAATGTGATTCTAGGAGGTTCCAGATTTTGCGGAGATTCGATAAGTTCCATCAAGAAACATAGACGAAATATCCTACTCAAAGCAAGCTTAAGCGAAGAAGTCGATTTTCAAGGTGCATCAATATCATTTAATGAAGAAGAAACGCGGTACCTCGAAAGGCCTCATGATGATGCTCTAGTCATTACCCTAGATGTTGCCAACTTCGAAGTATCAAGGATCCTTATAGATACAGGCAGTTCAGTCGACTTGATCTTTTTAAGTACTCTAGAAAGAATGGGAATCAGCCGAGCAGACATAGTGGGGCCTCCGTCTCCATTAGTTGCATTCACAAGTGAATCAGCCATGTCTCTCGGGACAATCAAGCTACCGGTCCTTGCCAAAAAAGTATCGAAGATCGTGGACTTCGTTGTCTTCGATAAGC